CTCATGCATGCATTCTTAACTGAGTTATAGCCCTAACCCTTTAAAACATATTTTTAATTGAAAATAGCTATATTTCAAAAACAGAATTTTATGGAGAGTGGCATTGTTTTACATATTTTATAAATCTCTTTCACATTTGATTTAATAGAAGGCAGCTGACTTTGATATTAACTTCATTCAGTCTGTTGAATACACTATTTGGGTTAAAATATATGAAGAAAATCTGGCTTACATGGACTCATAGTTGAAAAGAGAAAGACTATTAAGTAGCCATTTCAGATAAGAGGTTTTTAAAAATATTTATTTATTTATTATAGTTGTATAGTGTCTCGCTATGCAGCTCAGACTTGTGATGCTCCTGCCTCAACCTCTTCAGTGCTGAGATTAGAGGCATGTACTACCACAACTGGTTTTGGTGGCCTGCACAGCAGACCCAGGGTTTGGGCTGGCATGGCATGTGGTACCGAGGATTGAACCCGGGTCTTTGAACTTGCCTTATCTCCCCAGCCCTGGGTTTGGTGACTAGTCATTTCTTAAGATCTAGCTGCAATGCAGAATCTGAAACCAGTTATGAACTTTTCATGACCTGTTACATTAAAATCCATTGGCATGTCTTGCACTTTTAGTCAGTCTTTTTAGCCATGGATGACTTTTGTTTTAATCAGGCATAGGTCATTTGGAAAATGTCGTTTCACTGACTTATGAAGATCTTATGTTGACACAGTTCTTCATGCACTATCAGTAAAATCATTTCTTCATCTCACCTGTTAGCAGAACTATCCATGAGTGTGGAGAAGCAGCTCCACATACTTCAGCTCCTCCTGCTAGTAGTTTCCAAGAGTTTGATTTATAACAAATAACCCTCAGATGTTTTCCTTAAAATGACAGGCTCTTTTAATTGTTTGTTTTTTTAAAAAAATCTGCCGAATGCACAAGTCTAAGCAATCGGTTTTTTCTTCCAAGTGGAAAAGGTCTGTAACGCAAGTGGCTGGCTCCGCTGTAGCCCAGTAGTCATGCTAATACTTTCCTTTGTGATACTCCTGGTCTTAGGGATGTAGCAAACCTCACTGTGTGTGGACTTCTCATTTTATCATATAGACCATGAAAAAGTCATGTACCTCAAGGTAAGATTTAGTAAAATTATTATTGTTGCTTTATGAGAAACATTTTAAAAATGATAGCTGTACTACGGTCAGTATGTGGATGATGGTGAAAAAAACAATTGCTAACAAAGTTCAGTATCGGGGCTGGAGAGATGGCTCAGTGGTCTAAAGCACCTACTTGGGGGCTGG